CGAGGCGCCGCGCCGCCTCCCGCCACGTCCCCCGTCCTGCATTCCGTTCACAAAGAGCAGGATTTGCTTTATTTTGTTGTGTTTTTAACTGATATCGTAGTAAACACATTTCTAAGTAGTTTTGCAGGACAAATGAAACCCCTTCCTGGCCCCGCTGCCGTTTGTGGGTGTGCGGAGCTCCGTGTGGACGCGTCTTAGATCTGTTACTTGAGGCTGTGGCTTGGAATTCACAACATAAGGTTTTTTTTTTTTTTTTAAACGGGGGGCAGAAATAGCAATAAAAAAATTAAACTATGTGTGTGAAAATGAGTTAAAAAACTCACGCAAAGCAAAAAAGTAATTTGCTCTGAAAGAATGAAACACTGCATTTTTGTTTTCAGGCAAAGCAGGGTGTGTTGTCCTGGGATATTGCCATGCCTGGGATGAGTTGTCAGCACAAGGCTAAATGCCTTGGCGATTTCCTGGCGAGACGTTTCTTGGCTGTTGTATTTGAGTTTGCACCAATTCCTCTCTTTTTCAAAGAGTGCAGCTGTTCTATGTCTTTGACTAGAAGGGTAAAAATAGTATTCTACACTTGTAAAACGCTTTTTTCACAGCCCCCCAACAAATATTTTTAATGCAGCTTGTGAGGTAGGTGTTACTATTACCATTTTATACGAGGCTCAGATTACCGAACATGCTTAATGTTTATAGCATCCCAGTTTTATAGTTGAGAGGAAAACCCTGAAATGGAAGCCTTTCATCTCCAGTTCAGAACACCAGCCCCAAATTCTCCTTTCCAACCAATTGAATTAAGTGTCGCAGGTAGAAGCCTAGTCGCTGCTATTTCCTCCACGTGGTACTTTTCCTGTTCTTTTCAACCTACGTAAACTTTTTAAGACCCACTTTGCACTGCTTCATTTAGGATGCGGTTGAAGGCTTTCTCAGGATCAAGACCTGATCCACCCAGACAGGACTGTAGTGGAGCTGCGAAACTACTGTGGAGTTTGAGCCCACGTCACACCTGGAAAGATCATAGTCATCTCCAGCCTGGCAGGACTGGGACTTCTTTAGACTTTCTGCAAGTTTTGATGGTGTGCAGCATCAACTCCCACCTTCTGAAGTTTAGGATTAAAAATAGTCTTTACATATCTTCTAGTCTTTTTTTTTAACTTTTTTACTTCTTCATAACTCTCTTTTAGATTTATTAACTGTCTTCTCCTGGTGAAAGATCTTAGATCTTTCAGTTTGTGGGATGAGAAGGTGGCTAGCTGAGGACCATATATTCTATAACTGTATGATTATTCTGGGACAGGAAGCAGCCTGATCTCATGCCGTTACAAAACAGAAGGTCTTACTCTGGCAACTGACTTCAAAGAAGTTTCATAAATTTTAATATGGGCTACAGACTGATATTCCAGTGAAGGATGAAGATCAGTTCCTAAATCTTTATGGGACAGATTTTGACATGATTACAAATCTTAAGGCTGGAACATAACTATGCTGCTGCAGAAACACGTTTTCTTTCCTTTTGGTCCAGGGGGGATTAATCTGCTTTAGCCCTTTACTTCATATCTTACTTTCCTCCAAGCTTCAGGTTAACTGAAGGCCACTGCATGGGGTGAGGAGAGATAAGAAGTTCAGTCAAAGTTCTGATCTTTTTTAGTGCTACTTTTTAACATTTGGCTCCTTTTCTTAGTTCTGTGTATAAAAAGAAGAATAAAAACTGTTATTTCCTCCTTAATGTCATATATGGGCAGCCATGAAATCTTTTCACTTTCTTACCTCCTTGTCAGAGACTGTACTTTTGGATCATAGACTACATCTTTTTACAAGAGCATCAGTCGGTGCACTAGTTACATTCTCGTGTTTCTTATTTTGGAAAAATATAACATGCTATGAAGTACGTTAGAACAAATTAAAAATTGGATTTTGTAAGATATCAAAAAAACAAAGTTGTTAGTAATTTCACCAGCAGCTGAATGTGCTCCACTCATGAGGAAACCAGCTGCAGGTGCTCCATACCTTTTTGATATTCATTTCCAAAGAAAACATTAGATTAAAAAAAGATTTTTTTTGTCCCATCTGTAAACAATCTTCAACATAACACAAACTATTATTTTAAAGTAATATTTTTCAGTTTTCTGTAAGGAATTTGCTTTTAAGGCATATTCTGAAATTGCCCCACAGCTGGATCTAGTGCATTACCACCAGACCAGTGTAAACAGCTTCATTTTAGTTACAAAAACCTTTGCAAAAAGATGAAAACAGTGATTAACACTTTTTCCTTTCAAGTAGCCCAGACTTGCCCAGATTCAGTACAAACATACATATATACCAATGCTCAAAAATAGCATTTAACAAGATCTGCCACAGTCTTATCACAATAAAAATACTTATACGCTCGTGTGAGTCATATAAAGATAATAAGCAGTAACTTCTCTCAGGTAAAAAGCAATGCAGTATATAAAATCTAGTGGAATGCATTTTATTAAACCCAGGCATTAAAGAAGTGGTGTGTTGGCTGCTCTTTGTGCTGTACACATTCCCAAATAGTTAGCTCAGGGCTTCGGAGTGTGCAGTTCTTTCCACAGAAATTCAAAACCCGTCAAAGCGTTTGCATTTCTTCAAGTAAAAGATGATCCCCTTTCGGGTAACTTCATTTGTTTGTCTCAGCATTTTTTTCTTCAGCTGGGGAGAGACTGTGATAAGTAATGTCAAACCTTGTTCCTCCAAGGTAAGATTTTCAATTATATTGTTAGCTAAGATAATGAAGGTAACTGAATAGTTTCTGAGAACAGTGACAGGTGTGTTTAAAATGTAGGTTGCTTTATTCGGGGTAGATATGAAAATATAGAAGAATCAGGTATTTTCATATAGCTGCATTGAGATTGTAGCAATTCTGTGTATAAGGAGAAGAACGTTTTTGTCTTAATGTCTTTCATTCACAGCTCAGCTGGTAGGGCCAGATTTTTATCTCACTTGCATCAGCGTAAATGCAGAGCAACTCTGTTGTCTTTGGCAGTTTCACGGTTTTTATTTGTATTGCTGCGGTCAGATTTAATTGTCTGTTTCATATCTGCTCCTTAACAAAATAAATGTTGATTTAAAATATTTGCTTGACAGTATTTAATTGAACATCTGGTGAGTAGCTGTGATAAAGCGATCTATTTATAAGTTTCAAATGATTTATTTATAACTCTTACAGAAATTTCCTTCCTTTATTTTGTACTTATTTCAAACTTGGAGAAACATACTCTTTAAATTCTCTAGCATTTATTTGAGAAACAGGATGCAATTAAATTAATAATTCAGACAATTTTTTGTAAAATCTGTTTGTTAACATTTTTCTGTAATTTTTACTTTCACTTTTTAAAAGCAAAAATCAGGAAAGAACTGTTCAGTGCTGTACCAGTGTAGTGCCAATACCAGAAAGAGAAATCTGAAGCAGGAAATGAGAACAAGTATGTTAAAGATGCAATCGAGTCTAAATAAGTTTTCTTTTTTTGAAGATCTGTATGTTTTCAAGGGTCCTATTTACATTTCAAAATACTGTGTGCAAACAGTGTACAGTGCTAAGATCATGCAATTAAAGCACAGAGACTCACATCAAAATATGTTTCATAATGCTTTCTGTGATGACACATATTTCAGGAATTACTTTTAGCATTTGTTTATGTGATGAGTCAGGGACATTCCCTTATTTCTTACACAGGTTTGTCACATGGCACCGTGGAAGAAAAAAAACATTAAGATATGCAAATATTATTTTAAAATAACATTTAGAGATGTAGCAGTTTGAAACTGCTTATGCCATTGTTTTTATTATTAGCGTTTCACCTGGTGGTATCCCTCTGAATAATGTCCCTTTGTTCTTTCCTCTACAAAAGCCTTTAAGATATTTTTCAAATGTTCGGTTTGTCGGCAAATCTGCTTGGGAGGACTTGTGTGCATAGCTTAATAACAGGTGCAAATATTTACAGTGGAACTGTTTTGATAATATGTGGTAAATGCAAAAGCCTGCTCCTTTCCAGTGAAAATAACTTTGTTAGCCTTTGAGATGTCTGTTGGGTATGGTGATCCTCAAAATGTGAGCTTCCTAAATGCAAGTGTTTGCATTTCAGGCCTCCAGTTTACAGTGCTCAGAGGTACAATACTTTTTCAGAAATGTTGGTAGTATTTTCAAAACTTATAGAGGTTATTCTTTACCTGTGACATGCTCTTGTGAGTTATGGCTAAGGAGAAGACATCTAACGGGAGTCAGTCCTGCAGCTGTGTAATCTTAGCTCTCTCAATTATTGCTTGATAGAGCTTTTTTTCAAAAAAAAAAAGTTTTGACAGAAGATCCATGGAGTAATCTGCTTCATTTTGGCAGACTGAGCAATTTTATGTATGCTTTATGATCAATTTATTTCCCCCTCCGTTGTTTGGTACAACAGGGCACAAGGAATGTTGGAGCTGTGGAAGAACCACTCAAGGCAGAAGAGAAAAATAAATCTGCAGATATTTCAAAACAAAAAGAACAATGCCTTGTACCATGTGATGTTCAAGCTAAAATTTTACGAGGGGAAAAACATTACATGTGCAGTATGTATTCATAAAGAATACTCTCAACGACAAGCTATGCAATGCCGTGCTATGTAATCCTTTGCTATGCTATGCTGCGCTGCGCTAACTTACTTGTTAATCTTCCTGAGCACATGTGACAGCCTTTGACCCTGCTGCTCAGGCTTGAGTATTGGTTAAAAGAAGGGTGCAGTGTAGGCAGCCGAGGTGCCAAAAGTAAAATATAATCATGCTAGCCTCTCTCTATAATCACTGGAGGCAAATCCAAGCAGCAGCTCAGCCCAGCTAAGTCTGTGTTGTCCTCTGAATGTCTGTAGCTCTCTCCGCTGGAGAGGAAGAGTAAGGTCTCTGTCTCTCATGTAGGCATCACAGACGCCTGAAATTAAGTGGGAAGAAATCTATACTTCAGCCTGCCTTTTATAGATGCCTATATAGAAGATGTGTCAGTATGCGCTGTTCACTGCCTTGACAAACCACCCAGCAATTGATCTAAACAGCCTCAGGATGTTTTGTCTTGTCTTTCCTATATAACTTTTAATATGTATTATTAATTACCTATATAGCTTACTTTTTGTATATTTAGTATCAGGGCAAAATCCAGGAGCATGAGTATAAGTAGTGAATGTCAAACGATTGACATGTAGGATGACAGGAAACCTAATGTATCTATCTTTTACCATTTGCATTTGTGTTTCTATGGTATCTATTACCTGGTTATCCAAGTAGCCCAAGGATAAGATGAAATTCTCCTTTGTAGAGGCAAATCTTCAGAAGAGTCATCATGTCTTCATTGCAACCAGTGAGTCTGAGGTTCCGAGCATCTTTGGGTTTAATCTGTGGTCTCTGTACTACTTAGATCTCATTTTTAGGCACCCTGAAGTTAAACACCTTTAGTATTCATTTAGACATCATAAATAAGCATGCCACTTATTCAGTCAAGAATGCTTCTAAATTTATGTTAACAAAGTGGATGAACATATTTCTTTTAAAGGAAATTTGCAGAACTCTCTTGTTGAATATGCAAGAAGTACAAAAAAAATGGTAAGAAACATGATGGATGATCAACAATCTTCTTTGGATTACCTTTCTAATCAGGTACATTTTTTATTTATCATGTGAATTTTTATTTATTTAGCACTACAATTATTGCTTAACTGGAGAAAATTAAGCATTTATAGTGTTATTGAAGCAGTAGAATTAGCGTCCCTGGTACCTATGCTTTTTACTTTAGGTAGAGCATGAGTGTGATTTCTACAAGGAGAGATTAGCACCACCTGGTACATAATTTAGTGGCACACATGACAGTAAGACAGGTGACAGCCCATTCCTCCACATAGTCCCGTTCTATTTGTGCAAATGACATGCATTATATTACCATTAAATTTGATAGTGTTTTACAAACACCGTGCACTCACTCAGCAGAGAGACAAAGCCTTAATCACACCAAAAGACTTTTCTTGAATTAAATTGGATTGTGTGCAAAAATGATGCATGCAAAAATAAAAACTCAGACCTGTTAATATGTTAAAGTTATGATTCACTAACATATCACAAAAATGAACTTCAGAATATATTTATCTAGGAGTCAAAGAGAAAATCTTTAGAATTCAAAATTTCTCATTGCAATCTATTTAAAGATCTTTTATTTGAACTTGCAGGTGAATGAACTCATGAACAGACTACTTCTTTTGAATGCAGAAGTTTTAAGAAAGCATTTAGATCCACTTCCTTACAAAGCAGTTCAATCTCATGGCAAGTTTTTTTTCCCATTTAGCCTTGCTATTTTTGATTTTTATCTTTGTGAGTATCTTGACAAAGAACTAGTTAAAATGAAAGGTAAAAAAAAGATAACATTTACAGTATTTATTATGTGTCAGCATGCACACAAACATTGGAAAATTTGTGAACTGTTTAAAAAATCTCATTGAAAACAGTACTTTAAATCACTTGCAAACTGATAATTCTGGGCATCCTATTTAGCAACCTGTTGATTTTTATACAAAATATGATCATCAGTTCGTAAGTGGACTGATCTTTCTAAGTACTACTTTCTTTTGTAGTAAAATAAAGTGTGCAAAATCCTTCTTCAAATGGGATGGAAGCCACCTGTGCACTGGACTATCTTTCAGCTAATCTTTGTAGTGCCCACCTCAACTAAAGGAAATGTTACCTCTAAGCAGCCCTATTAACTACTTACTTGAATATGTTTAACAGGAATCTGGCTTAACACTTGGAAGCAAAGAGTTTTTATACATACAAATGATGTAAAAGCTTTTACAACTGTGAATACAAGTATTTGCAAGAAGTAATCATCCTTCTCCAGATGAAATGTCTTTTCACTCAGTAAGAGCGTTACCCAAATAAGAATAAGATCCATAAAACAAGACACAGATGTACAATCTTTATGTTCTGTGTAGTGTGAGTTAAGATTAGAAAGAACTTTCTGTATACCAGTTCCTACTTATGCTTCTTTCTGAGCTTACCGAAGTTGAGAGAATTTTCATTTATAAGGTAAATTCATGATAAAACATGATGTTAAAGTTTTTGTGACAACAAAATGCAGTTTGGGATCATTCATGCATTCCCAACAAAATTCGTTGTCTCTGTGCTTAAACTGTATTTGCTTTTTTCCCAAATATTTTGCTAACAATCTTCATCAAATACTTTGTTCTCCAGGGCTGGATTGCACTGATATTAAAGATACCGTAGGTTCAGTTTCAAAAACTCCAAGTGGTCTCTACATTATCCATCCAGAAGGATCAAATTATCCTTTTGAGGTAATAAACTTATCTCACATAATAGTCAAAATTTGCTTGACAATATGCTCTATAGTATATTTAACAGATCTGAAATATTTCCCTTGACTGTTTTTCCAGAGGTGAATAAGTGTATTGTTATCCAAATGTGTCTGCTTTTATTATAATTTTGAAGATTTTCCCAGTTTCTGCAAAGAAATTTGTAGAAGGTGACTAACTTTATAGTTTTTCTTTATATATAACAAAGGGAGGATGAATCCCTTTATCCCCAGCCAATTGGAACCCAGCAAAATACTACAGAAAAGAGCTCAAACTTGTTATGAAAAGGCTTCAGAAATATGTTAGGACCTGAAAAGAAAAAAGAGCTTGGTTCTGTAGCCCCCCAACAGAGGACCCTATCATACTATCTGCAAAATATAGGGAGCTTAAGGAAAAGATCTGTAACTCGTCAGTAACTTCCTTCAAGGTAAAGGAAAGGCAAAGATAGATACAAGCATTCACAGAACAGTCATACTAGTACTGTGAAGAAAACGCTGTCTGCCTCACCCGCAGCTGAGCCATAGCACAAAATACATTTGTTTCAGTATTTCTTCTAGATTGAGGAACTTGTCTCTGATGGGGGGCGGGGGGGCTGTTGAGGAGGTATTCATACCTCACACAGATTACTGTTACTGAGAGAGAGTATGACTAATCTCTGTGAGAAAAGTGATTTCTTAGTCCACTTGTAGCTTTTAGCAAGTATATTTGAAATGATAAGGTTCCTTTCACTTCAAAAGTATTTTTGACACTTTTGCACATTTAAAATTACTGCCAGTGTCTAAAGAAGTGGGAATCAGTTATATGAGTGGAAAGATTCCTTAAGGAGAACAAGAAACAAAAGGAGAAATCATAAAAATTTGATTAAAACCATAGGGTAACAATAAATAATGAGAAGAAACATCTGCATGCATAAGAACGTCTCACTTGTCTGATAGAAGTTATACAGAACTGAAAAGACAATGCCAAAAAGTTATCAGAGAAAAATATCTAAAAGATGTGTGTTCCATAAAGAATGTTATTTTATGGAACACTCTTCAGTGCAAATCCTTCCATGTGCTGAAGCATAAAAAGAGTACAAGAACAAAAGACTCAAAACATTGATACATAAACAATAAATCATAATGCATTTTAAGGAGCTGATAGCCAAGAGTTTTGGAAGCTTTGAAAACTAGCTAAATAAGAAAAATGCACAGAGGCAGAATACTGTAGTAGCACACTAAAAAACAGAAAAGAAGGCCAGCTTGAAATAATTTATTTCAATGAGTACCCTTTCAGCAGTGAAAAATAAGCTGCCCCTTAAATGCAACTGAAACTAAAATTTTAGTCGTTAGTATCATTTGCATAAAGGTATCAGATGAATGAAGACAGCTATTTAGAAAATTTGATCCTGTCTTCATGTTTTCATGTTTGAAACCTCGTGTTTTCAAAAGTGACCTCAGATTTGGATTCCTAACCTGAGCTAATTTAAACTTGAATTCCAGGAGCTCTAAAAATATCCATTTTCAGCCAGAGCTGCAGGTTCTCATCGTCTCAGAAAATTAGTCCCAAATGGGCATTTGTGTGAGCATTCAAACATGAGGCAATTAAAAACAATTTCACTTCTGGAAAACTGAATTGTGATCACTTTCTGATACATTTTTGATGAGTAAACGTATATCAATGATTTTTCACAGTGGGTCAGAAAAACTAAGTGATTGTTTGGAAATATGTTTCTTTATGTGCACTAAAGATGGAAAGGGAAGAAATATTCAGTAGCGACATCCTCATGCCCATTTCATTTAAATTGCACTAGCGCAGTCGCACCCCTCGTACCTTGCATGATATGGGACATAAAGCAAGCTGTAAAGTAGATAAAATATTGTAAGGCTTTCAGAAAGAAAACCATTGCATCATCATTTCCAGCACATAAGAGATTAAGACACTATACAGCAATGACTGTTCTTACATACCTATCTCATATTCTTACTTGGCTGTTGTGTATTTAGGTGCCATATCAAAGTAACTGGCTGATAACCTTTCATGTACAGCCAAATCTGATCCTTTCAAAAGGTGTCAACACTCCCATTGATTTATGTTGGTTCAGAGTTGGATATTGTGCCCAAGCTGGCTTTTGTTTGTATTTTTGACTCATACTGAGACGAGTAGCAAAGCATGCAGTCATCTCTCAAGACAGTGGATAAGGCAACGGGATTGTTTTTAATGTGTTTTAGGTATCTGCATCTAAGTATTCATTTTGGAATCATATGTATTTCTTTTTATTCCAGTTCCACCCTCCTTGGGTGACTGAAATTACCATGTGATTCTCCTGGGAGTAAAGCCCATCATCTTCCAGTTGTTCTTTCAAGCACATGATCCTTTCTATCATTGATTCAGATACTTGTGCTGCAAGGGTTGTTCAAAGCCTCCATGACATTGAGTTATTTGAGAATCCAAAATTCTCCAGGTTGTATTAGATCACACTGCAGCTCTGTACTGATTGAGGAAATCTCCAACTGAAACAGTCTAACAAGAACATATAAGACAGTACTGCAGCTTCCGTTCAGTTCAGTTCAGTTAATTTTCTTTGGGCTTTTTGTTAAAATATTTGAAAAGTATGTTGCTTGGCAAAACATACTGAATAGTCCTCTTTGTTTTATTTAAAATGTTATTTTCTTTATTACAACTGCTTCAAGAATCCTCTCATCTTACCTGCGTCTGTTTTAGGTTTTGTGTGACATGGATTTTCAAGGAGGTGGATGGACTGTGATTCAGAAAAGAACTGATGGAATCATTGAATTTCGGAGAACATGGTCTGAATATCTGGATGGATTTGGTGACCTATCTGGTATTACTTTTAAATATTCTAAAGGCTTTAGACTCAAGTATTCTGCTGTCTGTATGTGAGCTACATTCACACTAAACTTAGTGGGATTTTTAATATTATAGAGACTACAGGGTAAAGATCCTGTTTCTTATTTATACTTAGAGTTTCTTTTTCACCAAATCGATTCCTTGATCTTCTCAATAATGATTCTTGCCCTAGTGGAATCTTTAGCCATGCCCCGTCCTCAGACTCTTTCTCACAAGACATGTTAAAAAAGTTGCAATATTTTCTTTCTGAAATAATTGAGAAATTATATTGCCCCCAAATTTTTCAAACTTAAAAAAGCCTTCGTTGGTTTTGATCACATTTTCAAAATATTTTCCTCAAGCAGAACAAATCAATGATATTTCACCACAGGGGATGCCAAGGTATAAACAGAATTGAAATATCTCAGTAGCTAAAACCAACACAGCTGTGGTATTATTTTTTCACTGCCACCATTCATCCAGCAAGTCCAAAGACAGTTGCTTTTTCTGGAGTTTATCTGGGAATGCAGTGAAAGCACACAACTTTTAAGCTATACAAGCAAGTGCGGTTCATATGGGACAGCCTTTCATGGAAAAAAGTGTTATTTACAGAGGCGGCAACTCTTGAGCAGAGGGTTTGAGTTTTGTTGCATTTCATACAATGATGACATTAATCATTTGCCAGTATTGCCTTTAGGAGTGCTCCGTTTAGCACTCCTGATGGAGAGCACATCCGATTTTTGCACCCTTTCATATTATACTGAAGATGAACACTTGAAAGTTACCATGTCGACAATTTACTAAAATTGTCACAGGGAAGAAAGATGGTGCACACATGAGAATTCTGTCCATGGATTTTATCAATGAAGTAAGGAGACTTCTCTTTACTTTCATTAATCTTTCAAAAGACTGTGTGCCTGTCAGACAAGTTTTATTGCACTTGGTTCAGGAAGTAAAGCAGTAAAACGAAAAGAAACCATTTTCTTTTACAAATTCTTTTTCTAGGAGTTTATAATATTCTGTTGTTATAAATAAACATAATATTTCTGTTGTAGGGGAATTTTGGCTTGGATTGAGGAAGATTTTTCATATAGTAAATCAAAAAGCAACTAGTTTCAGTCTCTATGTGGATTTGGAATCTGAAAATGACAAGCATGCTTACTCATCATATGATGGATTTTGGATAGAGGATGAAGCATGTTCTTTTAAAATCCATTTAGGGCGTTATTCAGGAAATGCTGGTAAGACCCTCCTTCTTAGTGTTTAAAGATAACTACTCCATTTCTTAAGGTGAAAAAACAAGCATTCGAAAAGTAATATTTAATTAGAATAACTTTAAAAATGTTTTCTCTATTTATAATGTATTTATGTACATAATGAATGCTTATGCAGGTAAATGACTAATGATGTAGTGTTTGGTTATGCCAACATCAATCTTTATATAGTAAGAAATCACTTTATCCTATTACTTCAAGGTGTTCAATGGAATAATAATTGAATAAACACTCCTTGGATAAAGAAAATGTAATAGATTCAAGTTCAAAGAAAATATAAATAATATATATGAGATTATATGTGTGTGTTCGTGTGTGTCTATCTAATGGTTCCATTCTTTATATGTCCATTACCTCATCCCACATTTGCTGATGTCAGTGGAAGTCTTCTTGATGTTACTGCTTTGCTTAGTTCAGAAATGCCCAGGTGAAGGGCATTCTGTGAAGGACAGAATAAAAGACTGATCAGAACAAATTAGGTCTATAGTGTGCAGCAGTTACTGGCTGATATATAAACACTGTCTCCCATCACATCCTCATGGGTAAACTCAGCTAGTGTGGGCTAGATGAGCGAACAGTGAGGTGTCATTGAGAACTGGCTGGACGGCAGAGCTCAGAGGGTTGTGGTCAGTGGCACAGTCTAGTTGGAGGCCTGGAGCTAGCGGTGTCCCCCAGAGGTCAGTCCTGGGTCCAGTCTTGTTCAATATATTCATCAATGACCTGGAGGAAGGGACAGAGTGCACCCTCAGCAAGTTTGCTGATGATACTAAACTGGGGGGAGTGGCTGACACAGCAGAAAACTGTGCCACCATTCAGAGGGACTTGGAGAGGCTGGAGAGGTGGGCGGAGAGGAACCTCCTGAAGTTCAACAAAGGCAAGTGCAGGGTCCTGCCCCTGGGGAGGAATAACCCCATACAGGCACCAGGACAGGTTGGGGGTTGACCTGCTGGAAAGCAGCTCTGCCGAGAAGGACCTGGGAGTCCTGGTGGACACCAAGTTAACCATGAGCCACCAGTGTGTCCTTGTGGCCAAGAAGCCCAAACCAGGTCTCCTGGTTTGCATGAGGCAGAGTGTTGCCAGCAGGTCGAGGTGGTCCTGCCTGTCTCCTCAGCCCTGGGGAGGCCTCACCTGGAGTATTGTGTCCAGTGCTGGGCTCCCCAGTACAAGAGAGACAGGGAGCTCGTGGAGCGAGTCCAGCAAAGGGCTTACATGTTGAATGGACTGGAGCATCTCTCAGATGAGGAAAGACTGCAAGAGCTGGGCCTGTTCACCCTGGGGAAGAGAAGACTGAGAGGGGATCTTACAGGAAGCTCTGCTGAATATAAGTTAAAACCTCTTTACTGTGTGGGTGACTGAGCACTGGAACACGTTCCCCAGAAAGTTTGTAGAGTCTCCATCTCTGGAGATAATTCAAAAGCCGTCTGGACGTGATCCTGGACAGCATGCTCTAGGTGACCCTGCTTCAGCAGGGAGGTTGGACTAGATGGTCTCCAGAGGTCCCTTCTAACCTCAACCATTCTGTGTGATTCTGTGAAAAACAGAATATTAAATTACAGCTACAGACTACCTGTGTTAATGTATACATATACTATTAGCTATACTAAATGTCTAAAGACTCTTGTTAACCATCGCACCATGTCTTACCGCTCTTTTCTAATTTTTTGCTTCATGTTTACTAGTATGTAAGAATGTTTACCTTGTCAAAGTACTAATTATTTTCTGTATGCGTTGGTGCCTTTTTCTACCTGTCTTTGTCAGAAACATTATTTCTTCGGTAAGATAATAGAACCAGTAATCACTGACCTCTGTGTTTTAACAATTCAGTTTTATGTCATGACTCATTCTGGGGCTTTGGGCAAATCGCTGGACATATGAAGTTAACTACTTTTTGTTTCCTTATTTTTTCTTCCACTGTCTTTGAGGACAGAAGGCTTTACCTTCATAGGTAGTGTGCATCATTAAAAGTGACAACAAAATAAAGATATTTCATCAAATTTCAACTTCTTCCATACTTCTCAGTATTCTATACTTTTTCTTTCTTGTATCCTCAGCACATTACCAACTTCTTATTTGGTGCTGTCTCGAACAGTCTTTGAGAAATCTAGCTTCCTAATAAATTCAGAGGAAAAGTTTGCAAGGTATGCAATAAGTAAGAAATGTGTTTTTCCACAAATAACTCTTTTATTGTCATTCTGTTTTATCTGTTGTACTTAGGTGATGCATTTAGAGGATACAGAAAAGAAGATAATCAGAATTCAATGCCTTTCAGCACATTTGATGTTGATAATGATGGATGCAGGCCAATCTGCACTATTAAAGAACAGCCTGTAAAGAGCTGCAGTAACTTCAGTGATAAAACTGGATGGTGGTTCAGCCAGTGTGGCCTTGCAAATCTTAACGGTATTCATCGCTACACAGGTAGATTCCTTGCGACTGGGATTCACTGGGATACGTGGACAATGAACAATAAACCAGTCAAAATTAAATCAGTTTCAATGAAAATTCGGAGAACCTATAATCCCTATTTCAATTAACCTATGGAAATAGAAATATATCTCTTGCAGTTATGTCGAATAATGTATCAGGATAACATTAATGCCTTTCCTTTTCAGTTAAACAGTTCAGTCTTAAAACTTTATTAGCTATTTCCATAACATAGTTACTAATTTCCATTATGAATTGTCAGCATAGATGTTTGTAGTGTTTCTACTTGAGCGAGAAGGGCCTAAGAATAGAGTTTTGGAATAAGGATGGAGCTTAGAGTGTTTATCAGCTTATATTCAGCTCACTCTCAGAGGCACTGGAAAAATTGTAAAAAAACACATCACTTGATTTTACACTGAAAAAAGAGTAATGTTGGATTTTGAACAAATTTTTTTATGATCTCTGCACATCTGAATTGCCAAGAAATTGCAGCATTCTTTTTTTTTTTAAAAGTCATATACCTGCTGTTTCTGTCATCATATTTTGGAAAAATACCTTTTCTTCACCTTAGCTTAATTTTCCATAACAAGCACTTCTTTCTAAACCCCTTCTCAGGCAAGATACACTGACTTATGTCAGCACATATGTAAGGTTCAATATACTCTCAGGGCCTGATTTTTAAACAAGGTACACACATACAAGAACTATGGTCTATTTTTTACTTAGGTTTCACAATCATCACGTTTCATAATCAGGTTTTGCTGCACCATTAGGATTTGTCTTTTTCACAATTCACTAACAATAAACAGGTGTAAACACGTGAACATGTGTAAACGTTTCATATAACCTTTGGAGTTCTAATTTTTGGAGATACAGACCTGATCTTGCGTTCTTCATTCTGACTGGCATTCACTTTGTGAACGTTCATGTAGTAATGAATAAAAGATTGAACTTGTACAAATCCATTTTAAATTAAGTAGTGTGAATTGTTTGAATATCTCTGAGTAAAAATGGGATAATATCAATAAAAATGTGAATGTGGTCAGTACAGTAGTGTTTCTGGAATGAGTATCCCTTCTGTAGGAGTTATGCATAGCTTTTTCTCTTCTCTGCTTCGGTTTCCATAGATCTACTCTGTAGTAACATGGAATTAAATGTGTTAAAAACTCTTATGGGTTTCCTCCTCATTGTCTCAGACTCTGTATAAGCATTAGGATAGTGAGTATAAACCATCATCAGCTCAGAATTACTATGTTTTAGCACTTCTTTCCATGGATATATAAAACTACAGGAGGATGGATAGTATGTACACCCTCTTTGTCCCTCCCTCTCTCTCCAGGCATATTAAGAATGCATTCCCTTTCTAATAGCAACATGGACCCAGAAGCCTGATAAAGGTAGATACTAAAATGAAAGAGCTTCTCTATTAAGACTAACAAGCATTAGAGCAATATGTGGCTCTTTAAAGGCCATTAACTCTGGCTGCAAGCCTGGGTGTGGTCACTGTGTTAGGGTTATTATGTCACCAGGAGTCCCTTGCAGGGGAAAGCACAAGTGGATAGATTTGATAGAAATTTAATGGTAGTGAAGAAAGCCTGAACGGTAGTGGGACTGATTCTCTGACAACCAGGTCCAAACCTGTGAGCAGAAAAGGAAGAGTCTAAGTACGGAATCTGGATGCTTAGTGTAGAGCTAGAGACTACTGACGCTCTTGGGGTCCTTTGGAGTTTATTAGAAATCCCTGCTTAAAAATGAAGGTGGTAAATGAAGACCATAGATGTGTGCTGGCAGATCTTACCGTGTTTAATAATCAGGTTTAAATTGTCCTTTGTTGACCTCTGTTAGGTTAGCTGGCAGTAACAAGTCCCAGAGGAGAAGGGCTTGAAAGCTTGAAGAGTCATTCTTGCAAACAGACACTGGATCTTGAATCCAAGTCAAAAGTGTAAACCTATACAAGGAATGAATTGAACTCTAGATAGTAGTATTTGGGAGGCAAGGGAATACTTACAGTTCCTTAGAAAATGTAAACATTTCCAAGGCTCTCTTGAATTGAATACATATGCTTTAATATCATTAAGCACTATTCTAATAGCAAGGTCACAGGTAGACACTTGTGTTCTCCATGGCTTAGGGTTCCATTGCTTTGTAGCTAAAATGAATCCATTTTGCCTCAGTCCTGCCTTGTGTCTTAATTGTGCTGTGAGGTTTGAATTCGCAATAACGTGCAAGCAGGATAAAGTCCAAATTGCAAATGATACTCAGTTGTTAACTCCTTTAAATCACTCAGGTATGATTTTTCAAGATGCTGTTCTTAAGCAAAAGGTGGACAACACTCTATTCCTTTGCCAGATTAGAAATCATGTATGAAAATAGAGATTGTTATTAATTTCTCTTATGTGCCATTTTATCTACCTGTCATTATCACTCTTAATGCTTCTATGACATCTATAACAAGTATTTAGAGAACAATTTATAGCATTTAATGATTTTACTTCTTTTCATGGAATCTAGCAAGTGAGAAAATCTGAATAAGGATTCTATAAGAAGATTTTGTGCATGGGAATCTCAGTCTGTCACTATCTAAGTATGCTGAAGTGTGAGTATTGGTACAATCTGTTTTTGTTTTAAATGTGAGTGTATGCAGACAAAAGGAAAGCAGTACAAATTAGCTGGCAAATTGCCTGGTGCAAACAGACATTTTAATTTGGAGATAGTTTTCATCTGAAATACAGCAATGAAAATAGGATGTTTTCCATGTAATAGGTGGCTACTGTCTTCAAAGGTTCATTCTGTTTCCTCTCTTTGAATAAGACAGCTGAGAAACAAATAGTTTTTTAGTTAAGCATAGAGAATATTCAAGGGCATCAAACTGATTCCAGGGGCTTGTTTTTAGTATGTACAGCTGATGGTTCCAAACCATATATAAGATTTTAATTATCATATGTTTAGGGAATAATCAGCTAGTTGTTGCCCATACAGACTTCAACTAAATAAAAAGGATCATGTCGGGTGTGACATATTTAGATAAACTGACTGAATGTTCCAAATAAAAAGTAGCTTGGTTAAACTACACTTAATATCTATTCCAGGCATGATAGCTCAGACTATGAAAAATTGTCTTTAAAGGACATGTAATCTCTAATGTTATGAAACTGCATTTCTTTCTTTTGTTTTCTTTTTCCAAGAGCATGTCTTCAATTTGTAAATCCCCGTTTGGTGAACTCAAATGTTTTGACCCAGTTTATGATGCTGCAGTAATATAAATAAATGACAACATGGTTTCCATGGCCTGAGTACTACTGACGTGGCATTGCAGGGTTCAGTGTATTAGACATCTGGAAATAACAAAACAGTACAACCAAAGGCATTTTACTTTCCGCTTAGAAAGACCTTAATTGAACAGTTAAAGAGTCACTAAATTACTCAGATTACTTGCTCTTTTACTGTAAATTCTGAGATTGATTTAAAACTTTATAATCGACCATGTTTCATTAACAAGAATAAACATTTTCATCTTATTATTGGTGTCTGTTACAGAATGTATTTATAAAACATACACTGACTGTATTGATACTCCATTACAAAATATATAGTATGCTTATGTGCATTTTACAGTTTTCTAAGTTTTAAGTAGGAAACTTTGATTCATAGCTTGACTCTCCATTTTAGTTGGTTGCATGCAGAAATTGACACAAGTCTTCCCAGTTATTTAGGGATGGCTAACATAATGCATAATTAGTAGGCAGTTGTTTAAACTGCCGTCTCAAGAATTGTAGCTTGAAACGTACTATATCAGATATTGTGCAAAATTTGTTTGACAACCCTTGCCTTGAAGATGTATCAGCCTGAAACACAATATCAAGAAATTCTGATGCATGTCACTAGTGGATTAAAACATCGCATAGCTCTGCTGCCAGTGTACAATGCTATATGAAGAAGTTTCTGAGAATGAAGGAACATATTTTCCACAGAATCACAGAATTGTTTAGGTTGGAAGGGACCTCTGGAGATCATCTAGTCCAACCTCCCTGCTCAAGCGGGGTCACCTAGAGCATATTGCCCAGGATCACTTCCATGACCAGGGCAGCCCAGAGAGCTCGTTAGCAGCAGCCCCACCTAGCTAGAACTTCCCAGGAGAAGTTAAGTCAAGGTCCCCTGCAGGAGTCCTTGCCCAGCTCTCCCTTCCTGCTAGCAGCAAGCACCGTCTAGTTCCTCGGGGGTCCCCAGAAAGTCTCCACAACTTCCAACAAGGCCCACAAAAGGCCCAGGCAGAGCCCAGACACTGCTGCGCAAACTGCTGCGTCTGTTCGCTGCCTCTGTTGGCTGCGCTCTGGGAGCTGCGCTCTAGGCCTGGCTCTTATATAGGCCTCTGCCTAGCAGTGACTCACAAGGGTGCTTGACCCACCCAATCAGGAGCCACCTGAAACAAAAGCCCCAACTCCCTCTGACCAGGGCAGCCCAGAGAGCTCGTTAGCAGCAGCCCCACCTAGCTAGAACTTCCCAGGAGAAGTTAAGTCAAGGTCCCCTGCAGGAGTCCTTGCCCAGCTCTCCCTTCCTGCTAGCAGCAAGCACCGTCTAGTTCCTCGGGGGTCCCCAGAAAGTCTCCACAACTTCCAACAAGGCCCACAAAAGGCCCAGGCAGAGCCCAGACACTGCTGCGCAAACTGCTGCGTCTGTTCGCTGCCTCTGTTGGCTGCGCTCTGGGAGCTGCGCTCTAGGCCTGGCTCTTATATAGGCCTCTGCCTAGCAGTGACTCACAAGGGTGCTTGACCCACCCAATCAGGAGCCACCTGAAACAAAAGCCCCAACTCCCTCTGACCAGGGCAGCCCAGAGAGCTCGTTAGCAGCAGCCCCACCTAGCTAGAACTTCCCAGGAGAAGTTAAGTCAAGGTCCCCTGCAGGAGTCCTTGCCCAGCTCTCCCTTCCTGCTAGCAGCAAGCACCGTCTAGTTCCTCGGGGGTCCCCAGAAAGTCTCCACAACTTCCAACAAGGCCCACAAAAGGCCCAGGCAGAGCCCAGACACTGCTGCGCAAACTGCTGCGTCTGTTCGCTGCCTCTGTTGGCTGCGCTCTGGGAGCTGCGCTCTAGGCCTGGCTCTTATATAGGCCTCTGCCTAGCAGTGACTCACAAGGGTGCTTGACCCACCCAATCAGGAGCCACCTGAAACAAAAGCCCCAACTCCCTCTGACCAGGGCAGCCCAGAGAGCTCGTTAGCAGCAGCCCCACCTAGCTAGAACTTCCCAGGAGAAGTTAAGTCAAGGTCCCCTGCAGGAGTCCTTGCCCAGCTCTCCCTTCCTGCTAGCAGCAAGCACCGTCTAGTTCCTCGGGGGTCCCCAGAAAGTCTCCACAACTTCCAACAAGGCCCACAAAAGGCCCAGGCAGAGCCCAGACACTGCTGCGCAAACTGCTGCGTCTGTTCGCTGCCTCTGTTGGCTGCGCTCTGGGAGCTGCGCTCTAGGCCTGGCTCTTATATAGGCCTCTGCCTAGCAGTGACTCACAAGGGTGCTTGACCCACCCAATCAGGAGCCACCTGAAACAAAAGCCCCAACTCCCTCTGACCAGGGCAGCCCAGAGAGCTCGTTAGCAGCAGCCCCACCTAGCTAGAACTTCCCAGGAGAAGTTAAGTCAAGGTCCCCTGCAGGAGTCCTTGCCCAGCTCTCCCTTC